CTGGGGAATTCTGGGAGCTGAAGTCCACGTATCTTAAAGTTGCTAAGGTTGAGAAACACTGTTCCAGAAGGAGCACTCTTGGCTGTTTCTTCCATAGCAAAACAACAGCAGCATTCCATAGTGGACTGGTAGACAGTGGGCAGGCCACCCATGGAACTGTTACATTAATGACAGTTCAGATGATTTATTGTTATTTCTATACTGCCCTTCATCAATACGTTCCAGAGTTGTTTCAGTATTAATCCAAAGCATTCTAAACATCAGGACAACAGAGTGGAGTATTGTTTTATAGTTCACCTTTCTTTGAAGGAACTCAAATTTGGCATTCATAGTTCTCTCCTTCCACCTAGCCCAAGGTTACCCAGTGAGTTTCATAACGCAAAGCAAATTCAAATGTAGGGTTCCCTGTTCTAGTCCAACACAAATATCAACACCATGCTAATGATGTTTAATTAAATATACCTGATTTGATTATTTGCATGCATTTAACCTATTAGCCACCTCCCAAAATTGTCTTTTACTCGTTTTGTTTTTTCTCAGAAACTGTCTTTCCACCAGCGAAACACAAAGTAACTTGAGCAGCAATGGTGAAAACAGAGTACAGGTCTTGAAAACAGTGCCAGTAAACCTCTCCGTGAACCAAGAGCAGCTGGACACTTCCAAAAGGGAGCAGTTCAGTTCAAATGTATCAGGAAGCCCATCCTCCATTGCTGTGACTGGAGTTATGGTGGTGAAAGCAGAAGAATATACCCCAGTTTACATGACTCCTTCAGTGCATTATGCCAGGGGAGAAAATGAAGAGCATCGGGGGGTCATATTTGAACATGCACATTATGAAGTGCCTAGCATCACACCCCATTCAACCTATATGAAAGATGATCAGCGCAGTACTCCAGACAGTACTTACAGTGATACCTTTAAAGATGGAGGGACAGAGGTATGTCTGTTACTTTGGGCACTGTGGGTGCAGGAGGAGTGACATTTATTCATTTTTCACATGGTTTTCATTTTCCTCAATGGAGCTCAGGGCAGTTCGTTCACTTTATCACCCTAATAAGTTAGTGAGGTAGGCATAGCTGAGAAATAAAGTCCAAAATAATGGCTTGCATAACATTTCATGGATGATCACGAATTTGAGTTGCCAAGTGGGATAAATTCCATCTTTGGAGGATGTCTTCCAAGTGTCCCTCTCCAAAGACAGAAGATGACTAGATAGAGAGTCTTTCAATGCTGTTACTAAGTTTGTAGCATTATCTCTGCACCTGGTGCTAACATTTTTATCCTTTCGATAACAGTGGGAGATATTTCTGTTCCATTACATTTTCTAATCTATTAGCTTTATCTATTTCAGTTTTGATTCTTTTAGAATTTTAACATATTATTTTAACTTGTTTTAATTTAGACTGTTTTGAGTTACGTATTCTGCTTTGTATTTGTAAGTTGCCCTGGAAGGCTTAATGAAATGTAGAATGTATACTTTTTAAATAGTTGAGATTTAGTGCCATAAGAATTTCTTTTATATACAGTAGAGGTCTGGATATGTTTTGGGTGATCCATTTTTCTTGTGTGCAGTAACAGAGATAACAACATTGTTAGAAGAGAGTCTGCAACTCATACTTCCCTTTTGACATTATTTCTTTTTGCACATTTATTTAACATATAAACAATGGGATATTATGGGACTTGCACAGTAATCATGGAACTGAATGCTAATATTGAAAGATGTTATATGAACTCTTGCAAAAAAGCTGGGAGTCAGGTATAAAAGAGCTGATAGAAATTACTCATCCAACATATGGAAAACTCTAGCGATGGAACACAAGGATGCAATGGGCTCAGGCCCACTCTTTCACTCCTAGGATTCTGATCTCTGGGGAAATGATATTCCAAGGGGCGGGCACTACAACAGAAAATGGTCTCTTCCTGGGCTCTGCCAGATGACCTTCCTTAGCAGATGGAACTCAGAGCATGCCACTTCTGCCAGACCTAATGGGATGGGTAGACATAATCAGAGAGAGGTGGTCTCTCAAATAACCCAGCCCCATGCCATAAAGGGCATGGTTACAGCCAGTACTGTGAATTGAATCCAGATGCAGCTCATGGAGCAGAGGTGTAACATGCACTGATCAAGGAGTGCATATAACTGCTTGTGCTGCCATATTCTGTACCAGTAATAACTTCTGGAGGCTCTTCAAAGGCAGCCCCATGTAGAGCGCATTTGCAATAGTCTATTTGGGAGGTTTTTATAGAATTATTCAAAGTACTTTTGAGATTCCAAGAGTCTTGAATACAGGTGTTTATAAAAACTACAAATAGCAAACACCTTCTTGCCTCTTTTAAGGTTATCTTGAAATTATTGTACCTCATATGAATATTTTAAAAAGAGATTTTGGCTTTAGATCTATTGGATTGGATCCAGTCATGCTGAAATCAGTAGAGCTTAAGTTAGTCATGACTTTCTGCTCAACTACTGTTGGTATATATTTTATTTCTCCATCTTTCAGAAATTTCGCAGTAGTTCTGTGGGTCCTGAAGAATATATTTATGAACAAACAGCCAAGTAAGTATCAGCAATGGGAAGATACTGAAGGTATGCTAGGTTTATAAGGGCTTTTGATTGGCTTCAGGCTATAATGTTGCATGGAGGACATTGATTTTGCTTGGCCATTTATTATTATGGACACTTTGTTAACCTGCATTCAGCATACCCAGCCCCTGTTTTCTTCTCCTGTGCTTCTTAATGAAATTCAGAGGAAGAAATATATCTTTTAATGGGATCCAGTAATGGTGCATTTTGTACATTTTATTTGTGCCATGTAGCAAAGTAACGCCAAGCATTGGAAAATTCTTCTTCACATCATTTTGGATGGCCAAGGGAAGCCCACCAGTGAAAATCTTATATGCACCCAGAGATATCACGGTTGTGAGAGGGATTTCTTCATCTTACTGTAATATATGAATGTAATATAGGTGTTACCTTGCACTAATATGGAACAACACTGTCACTCCATCAGGAAAGAAAGTGGTAAGGATCAGTTCTTCCTACATGGTTGCTAGATTCACATACAAGCATGAAATGCTTCATAGGAAACATTGTAGTTACTAAGGCTAGAATGAGAAAAATCCAAAGACAATTAAGATAATCTGAATTGTCATTAGTATCAGTGCAAAATAGAACTAGCTCACAAGGAAAAAGTTTTTATAGATTATGTAACTCCATCAGGATAAGATGGATCCTTTTCTTTTAATTGAATATAATATTATGGGGCAAGAAATTGTATGCCTCGAAGCTTAGTTGCTCCTAGTCAGCAATCTTCATTTAAGAATAAACTTTGCATATTTATTTGTCAGTATTTGTCATCCTCCCCAATTTTTTAAGACTCTGGGTAGTTTAGAACAAGGAACTATAAAAACAAAATCACAATAATACAAAAATGTAATCAATAATATATCTAGATATAATTGTCGCCCATAATTAGTCAGAACCAAAGGCGCATTGAAATAAAATGGTCTTGATACCTTGTGGACTACAAGATGGGACAGAGCCAAACGTAAGTTCCTAGGGAATATGTTCCAGAATGTAGGGTTACTATAGAAAAGGGCTGGCATCTAGCTCGTGCCTCCTGCACCTCACATGGTGAAGGGCTCTTGGCATGGCCTCACTAGATGTTTGTGCTGGAAGGGCAAGGGCGGAATAGGGTTTCTATAGGTGATAACCAGGGCTTTGAATTGAGTCCAGAAAGCTATTGATAGCTAATACAGTGACCTTAAAATTAGTGTGATCCTGTGATGACTGCTCCCACTAGCAATCTAGGTGCTGCATTTTGTCATCTCCAAAGGCAGATTCACACAAAGTGTAGTCCAGTGATTAGGGTGAAAGTTAACTATCTCCAGAGCATCTGGTCCATGTCATGGGTCATAACTGGTACATCAGTCAAAACTGGATGAAGGCTCTCTGGCCACAGCTTCCACCTGCTGTTTAACCAGGAACTGAGAATCCAGGAGGAACCCCATTAGGTCTTGCAAGGGAAGCTCAATCCTATAAAGAATAACTACCAGGACTGATATCTCCATATTACCCAGATATTTATTGACAAACAGCAACTTGATAAGATTTAATCTGAGCTTGTTTTGTTCCATCCAGTCCCTAACAACCTCCAGCCACCAGTTCTAGATTTCCATGGCACCTCCAGCATAGCCTGGGGTAGTAAATCATTCCTGGCAGATGGCTGAGCAACTTCTATTCAAATGGTGCATATCCAAGGGGGGCGGGGGGAGCTTACTATTTCCCTTAGGAATTGGTTCCAGTCACATTTTTCCAAACAGGCAGGATCTGCCTTTCTGAAAACTTAATTCAGTACTCTGCCCTCTAGAATGGTAAGGTATAACTCTTGGCCTTCTTTTGTGTAGCACCTCTTCAGACAATTGAAAAGAGTCATTTCCCTCAGTCTTGACTAAGCATTCATACTACCTTTGATTTCTTTTCCTATTACTTAGTTTTCAGTCCCTTGATTATTCTTCTCCAAACCTGTTCAAGATTGTCTGAATCTTTCTTCAAGTTCTCAGAATTGGATAAAATACTTGAACAGAATGAAGTAGAACAATTTCCTGTGATTTAGAAACTGTATTTCATTGATGCAGACTAAAAAGCATTCAGTTGTAGATGCTCTCATTTGGATTCCTGCACAGCTGGAATCAATGCCACTTTGCAATTGTTGAAAACGTCAATTATGTAGGCTAGAAGTGAATTGTACTGTGAAGTTTTCATATTTTTGGGCATTTTTATGCAGGGGTTCACTGAGACCTGAAAATTATTTCAAGGGTTCCAACAGAGTAGAAAGGCTGAGAAGGACTGCTTTAATCTGTCCAGAGTCCTCTATCATTCATCTTCATTGGATAAATCCAAGTTATATTATTATGAGAGGGGGAAAGACATTCACTATTCACATTCTCCACATCATGCATAATTTTAAAAATGTCTACCAACTCTACCATTATTTTCCTTTTTTCTAATTGAAAAAAGCTGCAGCTCTACCCATCATTTTGTATACAGCCTTTTTCAGAATTAATTTGTTGAGAGGCAGCAATGGAATTATGCCCAATATTCTAAATGTATCCACAAGATATCTTTAGAAAGACATTATGATATTGGTGGTTTTGTTTTTGCTCCCTTTCCTAATGACCCATAGTCTGGCATTCACCTTCCTAGCTGTTGCATCTCGGATTGACATTTTCACTGGATTGACATTTTCACTGAATTATGGGCTATTGAGGATCTTATCAGCTCAGAGATCGTCTCCATACAAGTGAAGATAGGATTGTTTTTCCCAAATGTGCATTATACTGGAGTTATTTGGACCAAAATGCATTTTCCATTTCCCCACTTTGGAAAAAATTCTCAAGCCCTTTTTTTCACTCGGCCACTTGAAATAATTTGGGGTCATAAGCACTGCCTGTTCTAAGTCATTTATAAACATGTTAAAAAGCCCTGGTCCGCAATCTCAGTGCAGATTCTTAAGGAATTCACTTAAGGATTAAGGAATTCACTTTTTACTTTATGAATACAGAGCTGTGGAGGAATGTATGCGATAGACTGCATTACAAAAGCATTAGCTGCATTGCCTCCAGCATATATTCTTTTTTAAAAATGCAAAGGATAGCTGTTCTTATCTTTTTTTTTTTTCCCCAAAAGCAGAACCTTTCTTCTTAATAAGTGAAAGAGAGGAATATTATCAATATAATTAACATGGGCTATTTTGTATATTTAGATTTCAAGAATAAAGCATTACTACTCAAATAGTTTCATAGCACAACCAAAGAGTATATCTTTATCCATGAATTGGAGGTTAATGTAAGAATGAACCCTGCTACTTCTAGCCACGGGATACCACTCTTTCAACTACTGACAGTTTCTCAAATCCCAGCTTTCTCCACCACACATACTTGTGAAAGAGAGTACGCTAAATTTGGTTCTGGTTGTGTTTACCCACTGTTTCTTTATCCTCCTGTCACTCTGCGAACGCTGTCAATGATATAGTGACTTGAAAACATGTTTCCATGAAACACAGGAATTTTTAAAAGACCCTTGAAGACCAGAAGCTAGAATTCTGCTGGTTGCATGTTCATAATCATGATGCAGCACATAGTGCACACAGTGGGGTGTGGCAGTTATCACACCGTTGATATAATAAAGGGGAAGGGAGATTTAGGCTTGGGTCCAGTTTGTTTTTCACTAAAACACTAAGATTCACCAGGCAGCAAATGATGGCTCAGGAAAGGAGATAAAGAATTGAAAAGCAACAGGCCTCTGAACGTTTGCTGAGACAGAATTTTGTTCATTTCATTACTAATATGAGCTTGAGAAGGTGAGAGAGGCAGACAGACGCATAGGACAAAGTAAGAGTAATCCTCCTCTGTGGGGGAGGAATATTGCAGAAGAAAGAGAGACTCAACATCCAGTCTTCACCAGGAGCAAGTCTTTTGTAAAACTAATGATTCCATTCAAAACCAAGCTACCTCAAGTACTTTGAATTTGTATTTGAATTACAATAGTGGGATAATCCATTCTCCCTCTAAGAATTGCAACTCAGAAGGAAGCTGAGTGAAATGGCAGACTACATTACTATCCCTGCTAAATAAATAAATATTTAAATCTATGCTGAATTTGCTCATTTGAGACTGAGTATAAAACCTAGTGTTCAGTTATGAAGGATCACTGGATTGCAAACCTGTCATTTCGTAAGATATTTTTACTGGTTGATATGTGCAGAGAAGCTATAGTCCTGAGTTTGGAGATAGGTTCGGAAGTTTGCTTCGTTCCGGGCAGTTGCTCTTAGATATAAAAAATAAGAACAACATGCCATACTTTCTAAACATTGGCTCTGGTGGTGATCGTGCCTGGTGGTGTTATCATATCACACAGATCTACCTACAAAGATAGATCTTTGAACTTTGATTTGAACAAGTACAGAGGTAGGGTTGTTACTGTAAGTATGGAAAATTAAGGTGTCATTTCAATACAAATTTTAGCTTAATGAGAAGAGATATGATATGTTTTGTTCAGCACACTGTCTCAGTAGTATCATTGTGGGACTGTCTTGAAAATCTGCATTTTTACCTCAGAGTTATATTTTTCAACTGGCCTTGCTCCAGTATGCTCAGAGCTATGCTTGATATCTTATACTCCCAGGTCAAATAGTCCAAGATCATCAAGTGAAATGTATAGGGAGGGGGGTTTTGTATTTTTTTAATTATGGAACTTTATCCTTTCCTTCTACTGAGTTTTAGAAAAGTTATAAATGGAAGATTTCAATTCTACCTATCTTGCTAGCTTTTTAAAATCTTTGCCAGTTGACAAGACTGTAAGCAGGGGGTTGACAAGTTTGGTAGAACAAGTTAGTTCATAGTCTGGGTTTTTTTTTTAATTAAGAATCAGCTTGCATATTACATTAAATCTGTGGTGTATTTGTGTATATGTTATATATTATTTGAATATAATACTTATGGTCATAATCATAATCATCAGTACATCATTCATATACTGAATCAAGGCCTCTTCATGGAAGGTTATAGACATACAGTGGAACCTTGGGTTACGAACTTAGTTCGTTCCGTGACTCTGGTCACAGCCCGAATTGGTCGCAACCCGAAGCAAATTTCCCCATA